TATATCTAGAAATCCTTTTATTTGTGAGTCCTTTGAAAGAAGAAAGGTTGATGTCCATTATCTGTAATCAGTGTTTAGAATAATATAAGATATTTTAGCTCAGAAAGCTGTAATAATTAAAGTCTGTTTAACCCCCAGTTATTTCATTACAGTTTCTAAGTGGCATTAAAATGCCATTTACTTTATGCTATTTGTTCGCTTTCCGAATTAACAGGCAGGTGTTGCTAATAGTGCATATAATTTGAAAGATGAGTAGCTTCTTTTCATTAAGATGCAGGTCTGAATTATCACACAGGACAAGGCCGTTTGTACTGACATGACTGCAGGTTTGCAGGAGAAGGAGTGTGGTGCGTACAGTGGCTTCTGGAATCTTCTTGCCTTGCGCAATTGAAGCTCACCTGCTTTACCCAAGACTGCACACACTTGCTTTGCCACAGGATGTTCTAGAGCCATCTTAAGCAGAGTGGGCTTTCTAGAAAGCTTCTTGAGGTTGTTACCATAGCCATAGACCATTAACTGAGAAATTAAAGTGATTTTTTTCCCATCTAGTGTTACTTTCATAGTGGCTGAATATGCATGTCTTATATGTTATGATTTCTATCAGAAAGATAAATTTTGTATGGAATTAATCATAATTGTACCTATTTAATCATTAACAAATACTATACCATGTATCACATTTTCCTATTTTGTTTTATATGTGTTTGGGAGTGTTGTTTTGTTTTGTTTTCTGTCTCTTTGAGACAGGGTCTCACTATGCAGTTCAGGCTGGCCTTGAGCTCACTTTGTAGCACAGGCTGGTCTTGAACTTGCAATGATCCTCCTACCTCAGCCTCCCAAGTGCTGGGATTACAACTGTGTACCACTGTACCTGGCCCTTATTATATATGTTTTAACTGCTTTGTGGATATCTATGACTGGCCTGGTATAAATATTTTTTTTCTGTCTTTGCCTCTTAGGTTCTATCTCTAAGAAAATTTCCTATTTTTAATGGGCATTGGGTATGGGTAGAGTTGCACCAATAGTTTGTACCTTGCTCCAAGTGGCCCTGCTTTCTCTCTCAGGTTGCAGTTGTTGCTGAATTTGATCCTGTTAGGATGATGTCAGACACAATAGCATCAAAGGCTAAGATGGGTATTGATATGGAAGAAGAGTTTATTCTTCAAAAGCCACTCTTCACGCTGCATACATACAATGAACAGCAGGTAATTATGAGAATTAGCATGATCCAAGCACAAAAGCCACGATAATGATCAGAACTGTAGAAGTGTGTGTCTTGAGTTACAAATTGTTGTCAATATTTACATTTAAATGGCACATATATTAGCATAATATTTACTTGTAAATGATAGCACATAATTACTGCATAATTCTTATTATTATAAAACAATAAGTGACTAGAACAAAAGAGCTTAGCTAAAATGTTGTCTTTCATTTAAAATTATTTTTAAATTTAAGAAATATAAACTGTTTTGAAAGTTGTATTAATGTTATTTTGTTATTTAAATATTTTTCTGTTGCACTAAGAATTCAAATTTATAACATACTTCCTGTTAAATAAATACCCATGACACTGATGAGACCAAGCAGAGGGAAACTTTCAGAAATTAAAATGAGCAGAAGACAAGACATCAAAGTTAATGAAAAAAATAGTGCATTTACTGTGGGAAAATGGAGGGATTAATTTAACCATTTGTAGGAATTTAGGATTCATTTTAGTCTGTGCCTGGGCCTGAGAAGGGATCTTTAGAAGATCTTTTAAATGGATGGAATGAAGGGATAGAGGATGGGAAAGAGTACAGATGAATGAATAGATAGCACTGAATTAAGGGAGAAACTACTGGTTAATTTCACAAATCTGAGGACAAAAGCTGAATATTAATTTGATGGTGGAAAAACCAGCAAACTTCATCCATTGCCAAACAAACCCTGTGTGTCCCTACTATGTGCTACACACGGTGCTAGAGAATAAAAGATGAATGGATGATCCGTCGACTTATGGCACATGTACTATATTTTCTGGCTCTGTATACGAAGTGTCTGGGCTCCACCCTTGTCCGGAGGAAGTGAGCAGAAGGCTGCAGTAGGAGGGAAAGTGGCAGGGAAACAGCGAGGCAAGGGCGCGATGATCCCTATGGCGGAGGTCTTGGGGCTGTGGCAGCAAGGGGGAGAGAGACAGCGCTTAGCCTGGGCCTGGAGGTCAGAAAATATATTAGAGAAGGCACTTCTGAGCTCTACATTAGGGGCTTTGGAGGTCGTGACACAATTCACTCCAGATGATTTACAATAAAAGCACACCCGTGCGGGGCAGGGGGAACGGTACACAGCAAGAGGACTATCTTACAAGGATGCGTGGGTATCTTCAGATAGCAGATGCCAAAGTGAAGAAGGAATCTGGGACTTGAAAAGATTGAAGTCAGAATACGAAATAGTCCTAAGTAGCAGGGCCAAATAAGTGCTGGTTTTCCCAAGCATAGAAGGGTTAGGTGAGGTCCTTCCTGGAGTATTTTCAGTCTATGGCACATCACAAGGGGTCCGTGACAAATGCTGAGACATCAAGCTGAAAACATGGGTTAAGGTCAAACTGTGACCTTAGTCTTGCTACTGAGGCACTTGACCCTTATCCTGTGAGCAGGTGTGAGGTGAAGGCAAGTACTTCACATATGAACTCACATTTAGGCTTGTGTGTTCTGCATGGAAATTGTGGGGGTGCAGTGGGGTGAGGTGTTCTGGAGATCAGGGGTCTGAAGTGGTGGGTTGAGGGACTGGGAATGGCTCTGGCTGGGAGGGAGAGGGGACAAAGAAAGTGAAGACCTTTCCAAGATAAATCGCAATTCCAGGAAGTAGTTCTAGGATGTTTGTACACTGTGGATTCAAACCCAACTCTACTGTTTATTGGTGGTTGAACTTGTATAAACTACTGAGATTTTTATGTTTGTTTTCTTCATCTGTAAAATAATCATTTGCAAGACCCTTGTTAGGATTAGAAATAATAAAAATGTATTGCCTAGAACATTACTTGGTACCTAGTAGCAATTCAGCAAATTATAATATTAAATGATACTACCATTAAGAATGCAGTAGGGAGAAAAAGAACTCGTATGCATTTACAAGGAACTGATTAGCTGCCACTGGGGAAGAGAACTGGGGAGGTAGAGGTATGGGTAGGAGGGGGATTCCCATTTCTTTCTTATGTCATCTACTAAAAACAAAGTAATTTTAAGAATGTAAACCTCACAACCCTGGAGCTGAAGAGAGGGGTGAATCCTGGAGGTAATTGGGAGCCAACTGGCCACAGAGTGGACATGAATCCTTAGCAGTGGAGAGGAGCAAGCAGGAGGAATACACTGAGGGGAGGAGCAAGAGGGACTGCGACCCGAGCACCTGTCGCCAGATGCAAATCTCTGCATTGCTCTTGACCCCGTACATACATTGCCCTCAGCCCTGTATTTGATCTGTTGCCAATTTCTATTAATTCTTGTTTTCATACTGTTTCAGGCAGATTTTCCTTGCTGTCAAGTAAAGGCATTTATTTCATAAAATCTAGAACACTGTGGTGGACTACTGACAACTCCCTCTGCCCCCATCTCTTCTTTCTCTGCCTCTATAACTTATTCTTAAATTATAATCAGGTTCATCTCCCTGGATGACTATAACAATAAATCATTACAGCCAGGGACAGTGATCGTGTTGCTTCCATGCTAAAAGTAGAAACAAATAGAACACTATGAGCTTCCTGGGCACGTTCAAGTGGCCTACAAACCTTTCCAATTCAAATCCCAGGCACAAAGGTGTCCCTTGCCAGAGCTACTAAGTGTCACCAGGGTTCTGCCCAAACTCCATTCCAAAATTGACTTCTCCACCCCTGAGTTTGTACCTGCCCTCCTCTTGATCTGTGTCTCTCGCTCACCCTCTGCTTTGCACAAGATTAGGTTAACTTTAAGGCCAGGTTGGCTGCACCTTCTTACCCAAGACCATCTTGCCGCACCACCAGGAGGTATAGCTCCATGTTTTACTAGTGTTACAGCATCTGGCTCATGTTGCCACATGCTGTCTTTACCTGTTGTGTTAGTCAGCTTCCTGTCATTGTGACAAAAACATCTGAGAAAAAAAAATAATTTAAAGAAGGATTTATTTTGGCTCATAAGCAGGACATAGTGGTGAGGAGCATATGGTGGTCACGCTGATCAGCTTAAGGCAGACTGGAGGGACAGAGGGTGGCAGGGAGGGAGGAAGAGTGCCAAGAAGGGCCAGCAGACAGACACACCCTGCCAGGGCATGCCCCCCGGGACCTACTTCCTCCATGTAAGCCCCAGCTCCTCACATTCCCACCACTTCCCCATAATGGATGTCATTAGGTCATGAATTCTCTGGACCCATCACAATCCAGTCACACTCTAAAACCCATCTCTGAAAACTGATGCAAGCCTTCCGTAGCTTCCTGTGGGGGACATTCCAGGCCCATACCTGTACACCTTCTTATTACCCTGTACCTAAGAGCTCTTTGAGACAGGAGCTGCTTTCAACAGATTATCAGCTCACCTTCTCAGGAGACTTCAAATCCAGATAAAATGCCTAATTACATAAAATCCATGTGTGGCCATTTTTTCATTATGGCAAAGATTGTATGTTTACATTAAATATTCAAAAGGGGGATGAGGAATAAGGTCCAAGAGTCCTGAATGAGAACAGAAATTGAGCCATTCATAAGCTTACTCCCACTTAGCATCAGGTTGATGGGCTATTTCTGAGTTCTGCTTGAGATGAAATCTGAGCTTCGAAGGAAGCTTGTATTGATCTTGTTTGTCAAGTAGTGGCCATGTGTTTAAGCTTATTTTACATATTACTAAATGGTGGAGAAATTAAAATCTCTGTTTAAAAACAGATGCACAGGCTGATTCATTTATTAAGATAGATTTATTTTAGTCAATGATTACCTATGTTTTAAAATTCCAGCCAACAACAAATAATAGTACTGAAAAAGAAACTTATCATCTTTTAATAATTTTAATATATTTTGACTATTCTAATACACAATATTCTACACAGCCAATGTTGGAAACCACTATGACATTGAAAAGTAACAATGTCAAAAACCATTTGGATTTTTTTAGTAAAAAGTAATCAGTGTTATCACAGTATTCGCAAAGTTTATTGTTCTTTTTTTTTTTAATTTTTTATTTATTTATTTGTGTGTGTGTGTGGCCAGCTCAGCCCACCGGGGGGCGGGGCTGGCTGGCATGTGGTGCTGGGGGATTGAACCGCGGTCCCTGTGCTTTGCTAAGCTTGTTCTAAGTAGGTGCTTTAGACCACTGAGCCATCTCACCAGCCCAGTTTATTGTTCTTTAGTCATCTAACAAAAAATTGTTCAACTAAAAATATGACACTGATAAAATTTATTTTATTTCAATGAGTTATGATTTATTTGAACTGTATTTTATTTCTACAGATAATTTCTGATCCTAGACTTCGCTTTGAATTAGCACTTCGCAAAGCTGGACTTCATAAAACATTGTATGCCAAAGAGACATTGCCAAAAATCAGTCCGCAAAAACCTCCAAGAAAGGACATGGAGTCTACTGTATTTAAAATCTAAGCCTTATGCTAAAATCTATAATATGTAAACAAGATTTTTTGAGAACATTATATGAGTAACAATGATTATCATTTTCTAAAAGATCAGACAAAGAACTCATATCATCTATTTGCCCTTCCTTCATGATGATTAAAATTTTACTTACAATTTCCCATATTTTATTTTAAGTATAAGATTTAATTTTCTATATTTTCAAGTTACATTTAATAGTAACAAGTTCACCAAGATAATGTTCACTTGGTCCGTACACTGTCACTCAGTGAGCTGATTTGGGAGGTTATCACATAGAAAAGATCAGAATAACCATTTGCAAGAATTATAAATGATATAGCTTCTGTCTGTGAATGTCCATTTCTGCTTGTTATTTCAGAATTTGGCTTTTTAATTGTAAGACCTTCATTATCATTAATACTTCTATTATTTTGTTATTACAAAAGGAGATCCAACCTTTCTCTAAATTTAGAAACCAATTTGGTATACCATGTTTATTGCAAACCAGTCATCCAAACAATTTCATTTTGTAAATTAGCCCTTAAAAAGAAATTAGAAATTACAAATAGCAATTCAAGCATGGGAGCATCTATTCTAGTTTGAGAAAGTAAGGTATTTCTGTAGCTGTTTAAACAGAATACAGAAATATTCGTGATATTTAAAATGCTGTCAAAAGTTCCAAATTTAAATATCCTTACGATTTTATGGAAAAGTATTTCAAATAAAATTTCCAATAAATTTTTGGTTATTTCTCAGAAGTGGTTATTCCATCAAGCAAATGAGTGGTGTCGGGAGTTGCTGTCATTACTGTTACGATTACCAACCACTTTCTCTCTAGTGAGCTAGCTGCCTTTTCCACCTACCTCCAGCTTCAGCGTTTACTCTTATGATAATTACTGTGATAATGGAAAAATGACAAAAAACTGCCTGACTGGCAGAATGTCTTCGTGACTGCACCCAACATCATGAGAATAAGACACGAAGTGCAGGTTGTCAGAATAAGCCTTCATGAGAAACTTGAGGGCAGATACCCACATTCCAACATTCACTGCAGCATCCTCTCAACTGACCTTTTGGCCTGTGATAAAGCTCAGTGGCACAAGTGCCTACTGGGCAAGTACAAGGTCCTGAGTTCAATTCACAGTACCAAAAAAAGTAGTACCACTGAGCCTTTTGTACTACAGTAATATGTCCTGAATAGAGAGGAAGCCATGTGTAACAAGAAGCAGGGAGTAGTGGGTAGTTGCATTTATATGAAAGGATCCTCCCAGGCTCAAAATATTCTTTGATGGTCCTCAAACCATAAACCCATGAAAGCCCTGTTTCTTTTCTCTCCAAATGGCAAGACATGGGCCTGCTCCACGTCCTTGTCAACATCAACATCCAGACTATGTCCAGGGGACACACTCGAATTCTGACCTGGTATCATTTCCTTTAAACTTTAGAGGTTGATTGATATATTGTGATTCTGATAAAAAACATGGATTGAGGTTTGGGCAGTACTTTAATTAATGGCTATGCCTAGACTCACATTCGAATAATTTTCCTTCTTTTAAAAAAATAGTACGAATGATATCTGACATTCACTGAGCACAAACTGTGTGTTCAGCGCCATATGTTTTTCATATCTCTTACCTGGCTATCTTACCTTACCATAACAATCCTGTGAGACAGCCATCCCCATTTTATAATGAAGGAAATAGTTTTTTTTTTTTTTTCAGAACCGGGGATTGAACTCAGGCCCTTGCGCTTGCCAGGGAAGCACTTATTCCACTGAGCCATCTCCCCGGCCCAAGGAAATAGCTTAGATAGGTAAAATAATATGCCCTTAGTACCTGTTTTTCATCTGAGATATTAACTTAACTTAGTAAGTTCTGACCAGAATTTTAAAGTGAAACAGAGTAAAATAACTAGAAATCCAACTGGTTACTAAACATATGAGATGATAGAAACGTTAATTAAAACACCCCAAAAGATACCAATGCATACCACTAGATTGCCAATGATACCAGAAAAATCACAATGCCAAATATTGATGATGCAAGACAAAACGAAGCACAGACTGGTATACACTGGGAAAGTTCAGACTTACTAGGTAAGATTGGGAGAGTTCATGCTCTTAGATTCAATAGCTTTATCCTAAATATGCCCTTGAGAAGTCCCTGCATGTGTGCAAGGAGACATGAACTGGGATTCCCAAAAGAATACAAGCCAAGCGTTCATCAATAGAACAGAAACTGGATATGGGACACACGTGTAACCCCAGCTACATGGGAGACTGAAGCAGGAGTATGGTGAGTTTAAGTCCTGCCTGGGGTTGGTGAGCCTCTGTCCCAAAACAAAGCATAAAAAGAGAAAAGGACATAGGTCAGTGACAGAGTGCTATGACAGTCAGGATGGACTTCCAATTTAATTGGCTTTAGACCCACCCAAGGATGGGTGAGGCACACAACTGAACTGTGTCTACAGGACCATGGAGGTGTCCTTGGGGTCCACACCTTGTCCCTTGCCTTTCTGTGCTTCCCATTTGCCATGAACTAAGCGAGTTTACTGGGCCACATCCTCTGTCATGATGCTCCTGCCGTGGAAGCAGCCAATCATGGACTGAAACCATGAGTAAATTAAAGTTCTCCTCTTGCAAATTGCAGGGGCGCATATTCTTCCAGCAAAAGTAGTGAAAGTGCTTCCCTAGAATGCACAAGGCTGTGAGTCAATACCTAATAAGGCCAAGGAAAAAAGGACTAATTATAAGAATTGTGGTTTATTCATTTATAGAATTATATGCAGCAATGAAAAATATACAACAACATGAACACAATAATTATTGAAAGGAGCCAGACACAAAAGCATACAAACTGGGCCAGGGAGATAACTTGGTGGCATAAGCACTTGCCTGGCAAGTGCAAGGTCTCGAGTTCAATCCCAGGTACCGCAAAAAAAAAGCATACATATTGTGTTGAATTTCATTTTTTTTTCCATCACAAATAGGACTTTATTTATCACTATTAAAAATCT